TACGTGGGAGGGGGACACCCCAAAGACACAACAAGTCTTCTCTTAGCCGTGTGCGGTGCCCCCCTCCACAGTTACACACCTCGGTCATATCGTCGTAGTGCTTAGGCGAAGCCCTGCGTCGGTAACTTCATCATCACCGTGACCACACTGTCGTGCTGACGAAACTCTTCCTCACCCTCAACTGGATCAAGAGTTTGAGGGACGTCATCGTTCTGAACATGTGCAGAACACGGAGGTGCCGTATATTCGATACTTGGATCGGTTGGATCGTGAAAACGTTCGACTACATCAACCGCGTTACTAAACGCTTCCGCTTTTGGTCTACGAGGGTAGGTGGACACACTCTCCCCGCTCGTTGTTATGCTTCTCCTAGATAGATCTTGCGTGATCGTAGATTTTTTTTTTAAATTACTACGTTTCCCAACACCTGGACCAAAGCCCTGTTTTCTACTAGTGGAACACAGGAGAGGGAGGGTGAAGCCATGGGAAAGGACCGCGTTAGGGTTACCTGTTGCCAGCCACCGAATGAAGGTGGCGACAAATGCGTACATGCTCGGTGGAATATGGGAGGGGTGCCGTTGGGAGCCAGCTGAGCGGTCGCTAGTTTTCCTTATTCAAAGTAGCGTGGTATCTTGGTTATGGTTAAGAAAAATCTGTTGGAAACAGAATGTTCGTGGCCATTGTCACGCACTCCTCGGCACCTAGCCAGCCTGACGAGGAGGCGGACAGCGAGGCACCAGTGCAACAACGGGAGGAACAAGAGAACCAGGAAGAAGGAGAAGAGTAGAGGCAAGCATGGGGCCACATGCAGAGAAAGAGTGGACTAGTCATAGGATGTTTGTGTCATGACATATAGGACCCAAGGCCCAAGGAGAGGTTACATGTAGCCAAGCGTGCGTTGTAACAGATGACTATTGAGAAATATCAGAAACTCTCTTTCTAAAATGCCAAACAGAGACCGAGCTCCATGAAGGTCTTTATTTGAAAACTTTAAAATTCAAACTTTTCAGTTTTATTTTTTTTTGAAAATAAATATACATATACCTAGATACATAATGTACATCTGTGCAAATTTTTAGGTCGAAATACAATAAAATGTGAGCTACACAAAAAAGACAAATATGAAGCTTTTTAGCATATGTACTGTTCATCTTTAAAGTCCATGATTTTGTTTTTTTTGTGTAGCTCGCAATTCAAGGTATTTCATCCTAAAAAATTTCACACATACACTTTACATCCTTGCATAAATGTGTAATTTTTTTCAGAACTTTTTTAAACTAAAATTTTTGAATTTTGAATTTTTCAAAATAAAGGGCACCATGGAGCTCGGTCTTCATCTTGTGGTAGCGCTCCTTCGGCTTGGAGATGGACTGGCACAGCTGGTGGTCGTCGTTTGGCGTCATGGTGGCGTCGATGGCGGAGGAACCTGCCAAGGTTGGTACCTCAATCTGCTCTGAAGATGGACCAGTGGGAGATGGTGGCGACGACACATGTGAGTGCGTCCGACTGGATTGTGCCTCGGGCCCGGTATGTGGCTCGGTCGGGGCTTCTGGCTTTAGATGTTAGGCCTAGGTGAGAGGACTGGGTATATGGCCCAGCTTGCACCCCTTCATCATTTGGATAGGAGTAGCGGCATATGTTGCCAAGATGGCGAGTTCAGGCATTTTGTTGTACTACTTTGTAAGGTCCTCGAGAATAATCAATAAAAATGGCTGCATGCATCTCCCAGATGCAGAGGCCGGGGGTCATCTCCTTTTAAAAAAAATGAAGTTCGGTCTCCAAAATGCCCTACTCAAACTCTTTCCCTTTCTCCAACTCTGCTTCTCACCTACCTCTCTTTCTTCTCGATCGCACCTTCTTCTTGCTCGATCCCTCATCCCCTGCTGTCAATCCTGATGGGGCCGTTACAGCCATGCACTCGTGCATTTTGCTAGGGGGTTAAGCAAGCTTTTTTTGAACTCTCCAAGCCTCTTTATTTAATCAGTGGTAAATAACATTGTATCTTTTACAATAAAAGGGGCTAAGGCACTAGGGGCCTCATCAAACCAAGTACTAGGGGGAGAGAACCTAGCTAATCTTGCTAGCTCATGAGCAACCGAGTTTGCTTCGCGATGACAATGCTCGAACCGGACTTGAACTAGATCACGCGACATATGATAACATCATCTATAACTGCTGCAGCCGGTCCAGCAAAAAGGCCACCATCTTGCATTGCTTGGATCACATCATTATTATCAGAATTTATCACCAGCCTTGAGCACCCATAGCTTTGCGCCAAGTTAAGGCCGAACCGAAGCACAAGGGCTTCAGCCATGAAAACATCCATACATTCACCAACGACATTATTTCATGTTGCCAAAAAATTCCTAGAGCTATCCCCCAGTATGCACCAACTGTACCTTGTAAAGTGTCGGAGTCAAATGCCGCGCATCAATATTGAGTTTCACTGTCCCAGCAGGCGGTTGCACCCACGGATTGTTCTGGATTTTCGCCTTCGGTAGAGAGGCAGCCAAGATGTTTGCTACAAGGCCCCGAACCGATGCAACAATTTTAGAAGCCTGGGTTGTCCGCTCTTTATGGACAAGCTTTCTACGTTCCCAGCACAGATACCACGATGCAATTGACACAATAAGATTCAATCTTTCCTGTCCCAATACAACTGTTTCATTTGCAGGTAGGTTTAATAGATGTTCAAGCACAGCTTCTCCTGAATGGTCTATCGCACATGCTCGTGAAATAACCTCCTCAAGTCCCAATTCTGTCTAGGCTTGTTTCGCCTTTGGGCACTGGAATAACATGTGTTTAATACTTTCATGCCGATCGCACGCCGGGCATTTTGTATCAATCTTCATGTGTCTATCAGCCAGTGTAGTTCTACATGGTAGAGTTCCATGTAATGTTCACAAGAAAATATTTTTACTTTGGCAGGGCAAGGTAGTTTCCACATTACATCCCAGGTACGGTTCGGTGATGCGGAACTAGGTCCATGTGTGGTTCCTCTCGCCTCATACTTGAACTTCCACATGACATAATGAGCTGATTTCACCGAGAACGTCCCTGTTTTTGTCGGATGCCATGAGATGAAGTGTCCTCCATCTCGAAAGCTCGTAGAGGTATCGACAAGATGCGTGGTACATCGATGGGCCAGAACATCTGCTCAATCAATTTGCAGGTGTAGTTGGTCTTCTATTGTTGGATTGTGGTATCCATGCATCTGACCAAATCTTTATTTTGTGTCCATCTCATATCCTCCAAATATATCCCAACTTCAAGGTCTCCACACCCTCCATGATACTTTGCCAGGTATATGAGGCTTTCTTCTTTAGTGTTGCATTAAGTAAGTCCCTTTCCGGATAGTATTTTGCCCTAAGAATCCTTGCACAAAGAGAGTCAGGGTTATCAATCAGTCGCCAAGCTTGTTTGGCCAACAAAGCAAGGGTAAAGCAGTGTATATCTCGAAACCCCATTCCTCCCTCTTTTTTTGGGACACACATCTTCCACCAGGCGAACTAGCGCACCCTCTTATGAGTAGCATCATCACCCCACCAGTATTGCGCTATCGCATCTGTAATTCCTTTGCAAACTTTTTAGGAATTTTGAAGACCGACATAGCATACGATGGTATTGCCTGAGCCAGTGATTTAAGTAACACCTCCTTCCCACCTGATGATAATACCTTTTCCTTCCACCCACTGATTTTCTGAATAATTCTGGCGATTAAGTAATGGAAACAATCTGTTCTATCCAACCCAACTCTAGCAGGCAGCCCCAAATACTTATCATTTAATGATTCAGTCATAATGTCAAGAGTGGTGCAGACTTGTGCTTTTTGCTCCACTGATGTGCTTGGGCTGAAAAAGACACTGCATTTCTCAACGCTCACTTTCTGCCCTGAGGCCAGACAATACATATCAAGGCCAGATTTCAAACATGAAGCATTCTGATCATTGGTCTTCATCAGAATGAGTGAGTCATCCCCAAATAATAAATTAGTCACGGCAGAAGCTTCTCTACAAACCCTTACTCCTTCCAAGTCAGCTGATTCTTTCAGCATGAGACAATAGCGCTGTTAAACCTTCGGTACAGAGAAGAAAAAGATACGGTGTGTTAGCTTCATCTAGAAAAGGTGAATCAAACTCCGTTCTTTTTGGAGAAACGTATACTATACTAACACAGACTTTGTGTGTTCCGATCTCCGGGGAGAAAATATTATTTTAAGGGAAGTTAAGAACTACTGCTTGTACATACCGGCCATTTGTTTCCTTTTTTCGTGGAGAAACGCAAGAACTACTGCTAAGCACAGACTTTGCATGGTCCGAGAAAAGTGTGAAGACAAACTTTGTGGCGAAACGGACGTAACTCTTATCTCCAAGCGTTTGCGTAGCAGTGCTATAAAAGGATTTGAGCAAGAATGCATCACGCATCAATCACTCTTAACCCAAAGCGCAGAAAGCATTAGTATGACGATCATGCGGATGTTCCTAGCTCTCTGCGCCCTTGGGTTCGTCGCAGGAGTAGTAGAAGGTAATCTAGGGAAATGTGTACTCATGGGTAATGATGAAATGTCAGCTGCTAATCAATACTGATTGCTTGTTTTGCAGATGGATCGTCGTTTGACGTCAGCGCTTACCCGGTCAAGTGGGACGAGGACCCATCTGGTAACTTGCTTAACCTCTGTTGCTTCATTGGTTCGACCACTAACTAAGTGAGCATCCCTTCACATCGTGTATATCATTCTTTTGCAGTGGGATCAGGTGACGTGGCCGCTCCACCGTGTAAGGGTTCATCTTTGGTGGCTAGTTGATATCTAAGCGGATTTTTCTTTCAACCGGATCTTGCTTTAATAAACTGACTAAATGCTGTTACTGTTTGCAGCTCCCGGTACTGAGGCGCCGGCACCGCCTCCGAAGCATCACATGATGGTGAAGAAGGGCATGCTGTTTCTGGAGCGCGACCTCTTTGCCGGGGCGCTCCTGCCGGCAAACACCCGGCTGGGCTACGTCAGACGCACGAGTTCACCAGGCCCAGTCATTTCAAGTACTACAAGCCCAGTACCACCCTTCAGGTACAGCAGTTTCGAGAAAATCTTGAAGTTTTACAATGTAACCCACGGCTCCAAGCAAGCAGGGAGGATCTCGGAGACTCTCCAGTTCTGCGAGGAGGCAGGAGACAAGGAACCACACGTGTGCGCAACGTCTGTGGCAGCCGCGAGAGAGTTCGCCGCCACCGTTTTGGGCACCAAGGAGCCGCGCGCGGTCACTTCAACCCTTCACGGGCGCACAGAACCCCTCCGCTACGTGGTGGCGCCCAACGGAATCGCCAGCGTCGGCGGCGACGCGGTGGTGCCATGCCACCCCCTGGCGTACCCTGTGGAGGTCTTTTACTGCCACAACCCCAGCAACGTGCAAGCACTCCGTGTCCAACTTGTTGGACAGGAGGACCCTTCCGTCGGCGCCACGGCCATCGCAGTATGCCACAAGGATACCGGCGACTGGGATGAGGCGTACTTCGTGATGCTGAACGGATCCCGTGGCGAGCCGATATGTCACTTCATGCCGGCCAATTACCTCCTGTGGCTCTAGGAGGTGAAGACACGAGCAGCAAGTACGAGAGTTGAGAGACAGCCGGCCGGTGACGTGTAATTTCGGACTTAGTAGCCGATCTAGCTTAAATAAACGTCACTGTATCTGTATGCCCTTACCAGTTATTGTAAGCGCATGTAGCGCAAAGATATATGTACCCCGAAAAATGATATGATACAGTCATACAGATATAGTATATTGTGATGATGCGTGTCATGTTTTTTCTTTTTTCTTTTTACAGAAATGATGCGTGTCAGTACTAGTTTTAGCTAGCTCATAGACTTTTCCATGAAATCAGACTCCATGCTAGCCAGCACCGAAATCATGCCTGACAAACCAATCATAGCAAATTAGTGTTATATATATTGCAGCTATGTATTCCCCATGTTCACATATACTCCGTATAAGATGTTCTAACATTTTTGTGTGTTGGATGTATATAGACACTTTTTTGTGTGTTTGTTCGTTCATTTTAGTTTGTATGTAGTTCATATTAAAAGATCCAATCAATTTAACATTTGTGAACGGAGGGAGTACATTTGAAGGAAAGATTAGAGCACCCCACTCTCTGGGCTGACTCAATCTCTAGCAAAAATAAATATCACTCTCTGAAATCTCCATCATTCTCTCACCTGAAGCCTCTCGATCCTGAGCTCTCGGTGTCTCTCTCCATCTCAATCCCACTCAACAGTGTTTCTCTCCCAACAACCTTCCTGCCCACGTCAACATCGGCCGCCCTTCAACTCCAGAACGCCATGCCGCCCAGCCGCCGCCTGGCTGCTATCTGTCAAGTCCCAGGCGTTGTATACAAGCTTGACGAGTTTCAGTTGGGTGTAGCAGTTATGGCAAAACAGTTCAACTTGATCCAACGGCTCAGATCACTCCTCGTTCTCACATGAACAACCACTATCGGATCAGTTTTAACCTAAACCTGGGCATCGGCAGCCCGAGCCCGGAAATCTCGGGCCGGGCCGGGTCGGGCTTGTCATTCGGGCCAGGCTGGGTCGGGCTTGTCATTCGGGCCAGGCCGGGTCGGGCTTGTCATTCGGGCCAGGCTCAACTTAGCAGGCTGTCATACATTTGAGGCTGGGCTAGGACTTTGATTTTCAACCCGAAGTAAGCTTGGCTCGGCCCGAACATACCACCTCTTCTCAAATCTGATGCATCCCCTCCGCAAATCCCACTAGCTCACCACCCAACCGCCATATAAAACGTCCCATCACGGGAGAGGCGTTGCAGCAACCGAGCTTCACTGCTCTCTATATTTGAACATTTTGAAATACAGGTTTTTGAAGTTTCAAAAAAATGTGAAATTTTTCCCAGGGATACATATACACATTCCGATTACACGCGTCAAGTTTCGGTAGAAATTTCGTTTTGTTTTGGGCTATATAAGAAAATAAATAAATTTCTGACAGTATATAGGATAAAAAGGGTGCCATTTCTGTCAGAAATTTCTCTTTTTTGTATTTCCTAAAATATAAAGTATTTCTTTTCCAGATTTTACCATGCCTTAGGAATATGTGTATGTATCCACGTATTTGTTGTAACATTTTTTTGAGTACCAAAAATGTGTTTTTCAAAAATTTCAAATACCAAGAGCAGTGGAGCTCGGTAGCTGCAAGCGTTTTTCGATCCCATCACCCAGTTCACAAACCTAAGGACATCTCCAACAATGACATGCAAATTGGACACCGTATCTGCCTGCGAACCGGCGGGGGACTAGTCCGCAGACACTGATACGGGAACGTGCCATCCAAAATAAAAGTGCAACTATGAAAAGTCTACATTTCAATCCCATACTAACCGCACGGTTTAAAATTCAACCATGAACTTCAAAACCGATCGACATACATCTTGAACTAACCATGTGGTTCAAAAATCATCCGTCGTCTCGGTTTTGACTATGTCAAGTGGTTTTGACCACATTAAACGTTGACTGGGCACCCAGGAAATAAAAAAGAAAAGAAAAAGGCCCTCGCTTTCTCTCCTCCTCTCCTCTCTCTCTCTATTGAGAGATGTTCTGGACGCCGATGCCTGACTGGAGCCAGTCTTGCTGCCGATGCCGTCCCAAGCTTGCGAGGCGCCCCTCGCACGACCACTCCCTGCCGACCATCACCCAGCGCTCCTCCCTTGGCCACGCAGCAACACCACCCCAACACCGCCAGCGCGAAGCAGCTAGGTGGCGAAGTCAACGGCGAGCACGGGGCGAAGTACGAGCGCGCCGGCGCCCTTCAGTAAGAACCGGACGACGGGCTTGTATGGAAGCTCGTCGAGGTCGGTACCACCCGCGGAGATCCCGTCCACGAGGGTTCGCCGGAGTCGACAAAGACGAGTGGCAGTGCGGTTGTCGTCGGGATCGGCGTTCCCGTGCTCGCCTTCTTTGTCAGGGTCTAGCCCTAGCTCTCCCTCTGGTTGCTCTCTCTCTCTCACTGGCTCAAACCGAGGAAGAAGAAAGAAGGAGGGAGACACATGACACGGTGGTTCCGGGACACGAACGGCTTCTTCCTCGAGCATGAATTCGAATCCACACTTACAACAGTACACGGGTGGAGCTTTATATGCAGGCGCGCCCACACGATGCCGCGCTCTCCAATCCTCCATGCCGGCGCGCTCCGCACACCCTGACTCGTGCCCCCCCTCTCGCACAAACGAGATCAACGCGGCCAGGCTCCAACAGAACGCAGCGGTCACCCCCCGCTACTATCGCTAACTAACCCACACATCAAGTGCGCGCACACACGCAGACCCCGCGTCACACACACGCACGCACGCACACATGCCAAACACAAGTCGGACTATGCATGTACAATGGTTAGACATAGGCTCGACGCGGCCACGAACCGGACCTGGCGCGCCCGATGCCAGTCACCACCGCAGGGACATGGCTTACTGCGCCAACAATCACCCTTGAGCCACGACGTCGCCACACGCCTCCGGCACGAGCCACCGCTCGCTGCCGCTGCAGCAGCCCGCAGTCTCGTTCCCTGCAGTGCTGCGCCACTGTTCCTCCATGATCGTCCCGGCAAGCCGCCGCGACCTCTGCGCCACCATGCAAGTCCTCCGCGACCTCCTCGTCTCCGTGACCGTCGTGCTCGTCGCACGCACAACATCTGATCGCACCGCCGCGCGTCGCTGTCGCAACACGCTTGTCATGCGCCGCAGCCTCCATGTCCGCCACGCTAGCCGTGCGCGCCGCAGATGCCACCGCGCACCACAGCCCCGAACCTGGTAGTTTCAGTGCCAAATGTTTGTGTCTAGCCCTAGCTCTCCCTCTGGTTGCTCTCTCTCTCTCTTTCACTAGCTCAAACCGGGGAACAAGAAAGGAGGGAGACACATGACACGGTGGTTCCAGCGCACGAACCCACCGCACGACGGCTTCTTCCTCGAGCATGAACTTGAATCCACACTTACAACAGTACACGGGTGAAGCTTTATACGCAGGCGCGCCCACATGATGTCGCGCTCCTCACTCCTCCATGCCCGCGTGCTCCGCACCCCCTGGCTCGCGGCCCCGTCGCGCACAGACGCGATCAACGCGGCCGGGCTCCAACAGAACGCTGCGGTTACCCCTGCTACTGTCGCTAACTAACCCACGCATCAAGTGCGCGCACACGTGCACAACCCGCGCCACACACGCACGCACACATGCCGTACACAAGTCGGGCTATGCATGTACAATGGTCAGACCCAGACAAAGGCTCGACGCGGCCACGGACCGGACCTGGCGCGCCCAACGCTAGTCACCACCGCGGGGACATGGCTTATTGCGCCAATATTCTTCCGTGGGGTGACCAAGGAGGTTCGCGGCAGCGAGGCAACCATGACATGGTGGTCGGAGGCACCGATTGTTGTCTCTTCCGTCGGCAATTGCTCGGCCGGGTCGGACACAGCGAGCGGCAGCATAGAGTACCGAGCGATGTGAGGCGAGCGACTCGCGGTGAGCTTGCCGCCTTCTACCAACATCATGCTTGTGGCTCACGGCGAGCTCGCTGCTTCCTCCGGTTCGGTGGCCCCACCCTCTTCCAACCTGTGTTTTGATTTTCGGCCGAAAAAAGTGGATTTCGGCCATCTCGGCCTGGGGCGAAAAGTATATTTAGGCCGAAATTGCTCAAATTTGATAAATTTTGATCAAATTTAAGTCAAATTGCAGTCAAATTTTGGTCAAATTTCAGCCGAAATTTTCGAAAATGGCCGAAATTCGGCCATCTCGGCCCAGGGCGAAAAAAAGCTCAAACCGAAAATCAAAACACAGCTTCCAACTCCGCCCCCGCCTGAGCCTCGCTGTTGCAGCGGCATCCGCTGCTTCCGCACGTTGTCGGTGCGCTCACCCGCTACTTCTCCCGCATCAACAAAGGGTAGCAGCATCTTGATGCCAATGCAGTCCTGGCTCTCCCATGTCCAGGTTGCCGTCCGGAGATGTGCATGTCTCTTTTACGCAGCCTTTGTGTGTGCGTGTTGCTACTTGTGAGCTGCGTTGGGATTTCCTCGAAGAGGAGAGGATGACGCAGTAATGTAGAGATAGGTATTTTTCTCAGTTAAGAACTGCTACTTGTGAGCTGCGTTGGGATTTCTTCGAAGAGGAGAGGATGATGCAGTACAGTAGAGATAAGTATTCCCCTCAGTTAAAAACCAAGGTTGCCAACCCAGTAGGAAAAAAATAAGGCCGTTAACGGCGGTTAGTCCCTTGTGATAGAACCTTAGATCGGAGTGGGCTAGGAGATCCGGTGAACCTACCTTCTCCTGGTGCGGACGAACTCGATCCAGCACCGGCCATGGTGATGGCGGAGTGTGGGCGAGGTGGTGGCGGCGGAGCTTCCCGTCGGCCTAGCGCAAAATCCTAGATCGGATTGGTGTTTCGGTGGTGTTGTGGTGCACGGTCAACCTCGTGATGCGTGCCCCGGCACCCCACCTCTTTATATTGCGCTGGCGACAGGGGCCACCAACCATGGATTGGTTGGGCGCCCCCGATCAGGGCGCGAGTCAGGGGCCCGTTCGAC